TTTCCAAAGACGACTTTCACATCATTGACCATATCGAGTACATCCTCACCGGTTCGGTTACAGGCTTGGTCGTGGTGGTCTCGCTTTCCCTTTAAAATGCTTGCCTTTCTTTCTTACGGGGTGATTTGCAGGAAAAAATCGACGATGGCCAAGGTACACGACCTTTCGACATTTTTTCAAGAATACACCTCTAATATCACCGAAGCAGTGTGTGCATGCATTATATCCCTTATTTGACTGTCCTGAAAGATTACTTAGAGTGGGCTAATCATTGATTGTTACGAACAACAATGCTCGCAGATCAAAGTGTTCCTGTTTGTACTCATCCCACACACGTACACCTTCTTTATTCCACAAAATGAGAAGTTCATCAATAAGTGGTCTCAGGTACACATCGATGTCATTGCTAGGTTGTTTCGGGCCTTGGATGAGCACAGGCATCATAATGAACTTCCACTTCATGCATAACCAAGGAGGAATGTTGTAGATACTTAGAGTAACAGGCCAAGTGCTATGACTACTGTTCTGCTCTCCAAAAGGATTTATACCATCTGTACTTAAAGCAAACCTTAAGTTTCTTGCGTCATTTGCAAACTCTGAAATTCTCTCACGATTGCTCTCCACTTTGGGACCCATCAGCCAGGTGTCTCAACATATTGTCTACCTTATGGTCTTCTTTGTGCCATCGCAACAATTTTGCATGTTCTTTGTTTCACGACAGACGTTTCAAGCGTGTATTATTATAGGAGCATACCACATAACCTTGGCAGGGATTTTCTTCCATGGACGTTCGCCCTCAACATCACCAGGGTCATCTCGCCTGATCTTATACCGCGACGCATGGCATACCGGGCATGCATCCAATTTCTCGTACTCTTTGCCACGGTATAGGATGTAGTCATTAGGACATGCATGTATCTTCTCTATTTCTAGCCCCATAGGACAGACAACTTGTTTTGCTTCGTAGGTAGTGGCGGGCAATTCATTATCCTTCGGAAGCATCTTCTTTTGAATTTTTAGTAACTCTCCAAATCCCTTGTCAGATACACCATTCTTTGTCTTCCATTGCAGCAATTCTAGTGTGGTTTCCAACTTTTTCTGCCCTGCATCACAAGTTGGGTACAACAATTTCTTGTGATCTTCTAGCATCCGCTCGAACTTGATCTTCTCCTTTTCACTTTCATATTCTCTTTGTGCGTCACGAATGACCTGAGAAAGATCATCAGCTGGCTCATCTTCTGCGGCTACCTCTTCTTCAGCTTCTCCCATTGTAGTATCATTGAAGCACGCACCATCGGGAATAATATCATTGTCGTCCCATTGTTCTTCTTCACCTTCTTCCATTACAACACCGGTTTCTCCGTGCTTTGTCCAACAAATATAGTTTGGCATGAAACCCGACTTGAACAAGTGTGAATGAAGAGTCCTTGAGCAAGGATATTCCACCGTATTCTTACATATGGCACATGGGCAAAGACATGAAACCATCGCGTTTGTTTGCTTCGCCAAGACGTAACAAAGAATGCACGCCGTCAATGAACTCTTGGGAGAGGCGATCAGATTATACATCCAATGACGGCTCATCTGCATTACATGACATAAATACCATATTAAAACCTAGATCATAATTAATTATTTATACAACATGCGTGCCACCACAAAAGATACAAATTTATGAAAGCATCGCTACAATATAGACAATCCCAACTACCACTAAAAGAACTAAAGCTAAAATACATTTCAAGTAGCACTAGGATTTTACGACCAATCTCAACTAAAACAGCATGATCCCCGATTGTGCAACATCTTTGGGCTTCTTCTACCGGATCACCGCCTCATTAGCCAGCCAGATTCACTCACAGTTGTGCAAGATATTTTTGCACGAGTTCAACATACTCTTCCTCCCAAAGAGAAGCCCAAACATCGTCCACCGCCATCCCACTGAAATTAAAACAAAAATTAGAACTTTAATCACAACCATCATGAAAATAGGTATAAACTAACCATAATCATTAAATACGATAAAATAACTCACATTACGATCCGGACACTTGTAGAAGATACGATCCTTGTTGGGACCCTCCTTCTTCACTCGGTACTCCATCACAATCTTCGTCTCATCACGACACTTGACGCATGGAATGAGAGGGAGGCCCGGCCTAAGTCGCTTTGGAAACCCATGAGAGGCCGAGGACCCGGAAGCGCCACCATCTACTCTCTATACTCATTTTTAATACACTATAAATTTCTCCTTTTATAAACAAATAAAATTAAGAAACTATAAAATTATCTAGATCTCTAAACAATGATATTTTTAATGGTCATTGTGTTCTCGTCTTTTACTGCGGCAGGTAAGTAATTCACATGATATTTCCGCAAATTAACAGAAGAATGGGAGTGTACACACATAACAGACTATCGCGACGATATTGGGACGTGTGAATAAATAACCATCCGTACTAGTTGACCTTGCTTACGTGATCATCTCGTGAGCATTTCTCCACCGGACGGCATCAGATTTCTGGCCACGGAAGAGCTCCAATTCTACGAGGAAGGGAACACGGTCTTCCACGACCGCTGCCGCTCTCCCTCGTAGAATCAAAGCTCCTCCTTGACGTCTGCTTACCGCTTTCGGCGAGAACGTGCGTGCTCGCCGAGATGAACACGGTCCGCAAGTTCAACTAGTATGGATTTTCTATAATTTTCTAACTATTTTCTAAGTTTATATTTATATATATACTACGTTTGGGTACGGTGATTGACGTATCATCGCGACGATATCGGGACATGTGAATAAATAACCATCCGTACTAGTTGACCTTGCTTACGTGATCATCTCGGCGAGCATTTCTCCACCGACGACGGCACCGTGCCAGCCACGGAAGAGCTCCAATTCTACGAGGAAGGGAACACGGTCTTCCACGACCGCTGCCGCTCTCCCTCATAGAATCAAAGCTCCTCCTTGACGTCCGTTACCGCTTCTAAGCAGAGAACGTGCTCGCCGAGATGAACACGGTCCGCAAGTTCAACTAGCTACTTTAACCTTATTTCATGTAAATATGCAAGCTTGAAGTGATTTTGAGCTCAAATTGCTTACAAATAAAAAAACCACAATAAAGAACCATATATATATATAGTGAATAAAATGAAAGATAAGACAATGGTGAAAAATGAGAGTATGAGATTGGTAACCTTTACAACTCAAGAATCGACGGAGGAATCAAGAAATCGACGGAGGAATCGAATAATGGATGGAGGAACAATGGAGGGAGGGAGGAAGCAAGAACACTAGTGCAGTGAGCTTCAAAATGTGCTTTGAGCTCGGGCTCGGGGAGGAAGAAGGAGACGGCCGGGATATAAAGGGGGACCTTTAGTCCCGGTTGGTGGCTCCAACCGGGACTAAAAGTAACTTTCAACCACAGGCGCAGCCACGGCCTCGAGAGACCTTTACTCCCGGTTGGAGCCACCAACCGAGTAGTATATTTTAGTCCCGGTTGGTGGATCCAACCGGGACTAAAGGTCCCCGCCACCTGTCTCGGGCGCAGAGCCGTTGGGGCAGGGACCTTTAGTCCCGGTTGGAGACACCAACCGGGACTAAAGGTATTTCTAGTCCCGGGCGTAAAAAATTCCGGGACTAGAGCCCATTTTAGCCGAGGATCAAAGGTCTGTTCTCTACTAGTGTAATTAATCCTAGAAAATTCTTAATGACTTTTGAGACGTGTAGTGCCGAGACGTAATCTGCTCTCTATATCTTTCCACTCCATCACTTCTCTATATCTTGTGTGCACTATCTAGAGCCAATCCCGTTCTTCATTTTTTTCTAGCGATAAATCCGAAAGAGGGTGACAATATTTGGAGATCTAATTAAAAAAGATGTTAGAGAGCATTTTTTACCAAAATCTTGATTCCTATCATTTGTAAAAGGTATAGAAAGGCTTTTGGAGTTGCTCCGTACAAGGAGAAATTAAAAGTCCAAATGGGCTAAACTATGATTGTTGGTCACAAGATTCCTGTGCTTGTAATTATTGGTTTTCCCATGCTACTTTGTATTTTCTCTGTTCTAAACTATACGTCGTTCTAGTTTTTCTATATGCATAACTTTGTCTATGCACCTAAATATATATTTATGTCTAGATATAAAATAAAAATTATGTATTTAGAAAAGACAGAATGCATCTTATAATTTAAAACGAAGGGAGTAGCTCTCACGTCGCTTGCAACTAATACGTTACTAACTTATAAGCATGCCTATGCTCTTAGAAAAGACAGAATGCATCTTTCAATTTTTTGGTTTTGTTTCATTTTTCCAAATAAGCAAGTTAGTCATAACTTATAAGCATGTCTATGCTCTTAGAAGTAGATTAAGAAATATCATATTTTTGGAAGTGAAAATAGATAAAATTAAATTCATTGTTCACTAGCAAACTAGCCATTAGGTTGTTAGTTGAGTTCACTGATCAAGTGCATGGTTAGTGACTTTTAAGCTTCCTAATGACTCCATAAATGATCAAGCTAAGATTAACTCTACTATAACTATGATTAAAATTAAAGTATGTTTGTTACAGCTCTGTTTTATTTCTTTCTTTCTTTTTTTTGCTTTGGCTCTGTGAGTGGGTTTTTTTTCACGGGTAGAATGAAAGCCGATTTAGAAAACATTTAGTAAAACAACTTCTCATAGTAGATCTGGGAGAGGGGACAGGGAGGAGATAGGATTTTTAGTTCAATTCAACACTCATCTCTTGTGAAAGCGGGTTTTCAAGAGCTTTACTTGAGGAATGAGGAGCTGACAGGAGGAGCTGTGTCAAACGGGGCTTAAAATAGTTCGATTTAGAATACAGAATTTTTGGATGAAAGGCTTTAGCCTAGCTTAAATAGAAAGCATAAAAGAACACCGAATTAAAATTGTACTTATTTTGAGACGATGTATAGTTATATTACAACTTGCATGGAAAATCGGACCATGCATGCATGCGTGCAGCTGATAGTGGTTTGAGGTGCAGGAGAAAATGCTGGAGCCGGCGGTGAGGGGCGCACGTTACGTGATCGAGGCCGCGGCGGAGGCCGGCACGGTCCGCCGTGTGGTGCTGACGTCCTCGATTGGAGCGGTCACCATGGATTCCAACCGCGCGCCGGACGCCGTGGTCGATGAGTCGTGCTGGAGCGATCTCGAGTTCTGCAAAGAGACCAAGGTATATGCATGAACTCCGCGTGGACGCCATTATTCAGATGCAGAGCTAGCCTCGCCCTTTGACCTTTGTTATGATGTCAGAACTGGTACTGCTATGGGAAGGCGGTGGCGGAGCAGGCGGCGTGGGAGGCGGCGGCGAGACGTGGGGTGGACCTGGTGGTGGTGATCCCGGTGCTGGTGCAGGGCCCGGCGCTGCAGCCGTCGGTGAACGCCAGCCTCACGCACGTGCTCAAGTACCTCAACGGCTCCGTCAAGACCTACGCCAACGCCGTGCAGGGGTACGTCCACGTCCGCGACGCCGCCGACGCGCACGTCCGCGTCTTCGAGGTCCCAGACGCCGCCGGCCGCTACATCTGCTCCGACGCCGTGCTCCATAGGGAGGACGTCGTCAGGATCCTCCGCGAGTTCTTCCCAGAGTACCCCGTCCCCGACAGGTTAGCTTCACTCGGTCAGTCAATATAGCATTGTCGTCGTTGATTATTCATTCTAAATCTAATAAGGCCCACTGTTTTCTACTGTATATCTTTTGAGTTTTAAGGAAACGTTTTTTAGATAATACAATAAACATATTGTTGGCACCGAAGATGACTCCAAGCCAACACATCAGCATGGCCTTGAACATCAAAGACGTTGCAAACAACCTGCAACACAGTAAGAATGTGGCGTAATCGATCAAACGATCTAGAGACCGGTAAGACCGTTGTAGAGCCCGTTCTTGGCAGGAAAGACTCCTGAACTTCTCCCAAGAAGACCCGTCGGGGAGGAGCACGTAGAGGATCTCCTAGGACCAGCAAGGCCACCTAGGATATCGACAAATCTCGTCGGGAGGCGTGCCGAACAGCAGGAGGGTTTGAGAGAGAGGAGTAAAAGGGCAAAAGGAGTTGATAGATTGATTTTTTGACGATTGGATAGATGGGAACTCAATCGGACATGATCCTCCCATATATATAGAGGGGTGGTCTTATCTCAGTAGGAAACATCTCCATAACGCGTTCTCCAAGTTTCCCATGTCAAAAACATACCAAAAATCGATTTGGAAACCAACTCGACTCGGAATCCAGGCGGAGTCGGCTTAGCCGACAGGGGAAGTCCGCTAAGCCAACTTTTGCGGGTTGGGTCAGCCCACGCAAAATGGTTACAGGGCCAGTCGGCTTAGCTGACTAGGGCACTCGGCCAAGCCGACTGGAGGGGTAGGGCACCAGCCTAGCCGACTAGGAAGTCGGCTTAGCCGACTAGCCTAGCTCGCCGGCGGCTCGCCGTCTTCTCCGCGCCTTTCGTTCGTTATTTTATCACGCCGCTTGACCTCCAACATGTCCAAGATGTTTATAACTTATTCATGGTGCCCAAAACCACCTTGGGACATTTTTTAGTGTCAGCAAATATCATGGTTTTAAATAGTTCGCTTTCGCTATAATTTTTTAAGAACATGCCACTATGTCATTACTAATTATCACGCTATTGGAGCTATAGACGCTTTAGGTTCGCTAAACGCCAGCCGCTATTTGATTTAGCCACAATATCGCCACTAATTCTAACCTCATTTTTTCACTCTAAACGACTAATAACCTTGGACTTGTATTGAGTGTATTCATGAAATTTTCTATGCTCCATGTTTATGTGCATAATTAATGAAGACTTTCCATATTTTCTATAAAACAACTAAAGGAAATAGCTTCCGCTATATCTTGTTATAGCTCCTAAACAATATCACCACTAAATAGGTTATCCACTATTTAAAACATTGGGAAATATTTGTTTTGGCTGCAATCATCCTCTGTTTAGGATGAATGCATGAGACAGCTACAAGAAAAAAAAACACCCACCACTAAAAAGATAGACATATGATATAATGGCATACAACCAATTCATCAACTCCAGAAGATAAAAACAATAAGGAGAATACTAACCTTCAACGTACTCGCCGTGTAGTCAACCTTCCGCTGCTTTTCCATGACATTTCCTCCAAAAAGAACCAATCTCACCACAATTCAGGTGAAACTAGAATGAGTTCTGACCACCAAGCTGAGAAAGGTCATCACAAACACACAACATCTCCCCCACCCACAGGTTCTAGCAACAACAAGTGCAAGATAACCACTTCGAACAACGGCAAGCATCACGCATTCGTCAACCCATGAAGACCCTCTCAATGCGACGTTTCTAAGGGGAGAGCGATATATGAAGACATTGTCATTGCACAACTGGATAAACCAAAATTAGGTTAGTGGAGTTTTCGACGACGCCTTCAGCGAAGAAAGTGGCGCACACAGGCGTCACCCGTCGATGAGAGTGGAATACAATTCCCACCAGTACATTCCATGGAACCAACACACTGCTATGGCCATCATTAAAGCACCAAAGAGTAGATGCCCACTGGCGAAATCATATGGTAAGGTCGCCATATCACAGATCCACCATGACTATCCCACCCCCAACCGTCAACTCACAATCTGCCAACTGGAGCCCAAGACAAGACCCTGGCCAAAGCCGGATTGGCAGCCTTTCCACTCATCCACACAGCGACCCAAGTAGCAGATTGAGATTGCCTTCACTTACGATCATAGGTGGCGGGCGGAATAGGAAGGAGATAAGAGACGCAATGGATAAGTCGAAGATGTGTGTGGCTACCTTTTTGGGTGCCATCGTGGGCCACCACCATCGTATGCCAATTGGCGGTGACGTTGGTGGCTAGGGAAGAGCACCAATCTAGACTAGTCGTTGGTGATGGCGGAAGCTCCTCCGGTCCCTAGAGAAAAGGGAGAGTAACGTGTGTTGGAAAGGAATTATTAGAGAGGTGTGTAGGAGTAATTTCTTTCTTACGTGAGTAGGAATTATTAAGGAAACGTATAGTAAAAGGCATATGGATCGAATTGTCAATGTACAATGCTCACTCGTGCTAATAATCAAGGCTGAAAGTGTTGTCAGTGGATTTCACATACTGCAGAACCGACCGTGAAATAAATCTGCTGCCGAGTCCGACGATTAATTATGTGATTAGGCAGAAGGCTAGTTCTACTCTTTGGCATTAAGATTTGACTGTGACTAGTTCAATCAAATCAGTAGTCCAGCATTATGATTTGACTGTGACTAGTTCAATCAAATCAAATCAGTAGCTCAGCATCACGAGCACTTAATTATTTTGGCTCTAGGAATCTTAGCCCTTGTTTAGTTGCTACCCAAATTCCAAAAAGTAGCTACAGTACCTGTCACATCGAATGTTTGCGGTCCATGCATGGAGCATTAAATGTAGACGAAAAGAAAAACTAATTGCACAGTTTGGTGGGAAATTACGAGACGAACGTTTTAAGCCTAATTAGTCAATGTTTGGACACTATTTGCCAAATAAAAACGAAGGTGCTACAGTAGACCCAAAATCCAAATTTCACGAACTAAACAAGGGCTTATTGACACAACGCAACAAGTACACACGTGTGACGATGTCTGTTCCAAATTACGGACAAGTACGATCTTTTCCAATGAAGTTTTAAATAGTTGGCTGGATGACACACCATCCTTCTCCACAACATATGTTCAATTTTCTTTGAACGGTTCTTCACTCCTCTTCGGAAGAACAATCTTCGTACGAAACGTATATACACAAAGAGTATACGACAGAATACAGACATATATTGCTGCAAACATCACATTCTTAGCGAAGCTGGTTGGAAATTTAGGCATTTTCATTATCAGTTTAATCCCAAAAAATAACATCAGAAGGTTCGTGACGGCATATATGTGCATGTGTATATCTCTAACGAACGCTATAGCATGCAGAGTTGACATACAGATAGATACAGTAAAAGCACAGATTACAGTAATCAGAAAGATTAGACTGTACCTAGCGGAGCGTCCCATGCCGAGAGCATCGGAGGCTCCATTCGTACTAGTCGACATAGTGCGTTGCTCGAAGTCGCAGACCACAGTCGGTGCAGGACGATGTTCGCAGTGCAGTCCCACGAACGGATCACCAGGAAGAAGGGACGGGGAAGCCAGAAGGCTGCTGAGATGTGGTTTCTCTCGGGAGCAGTTGCGGAAGACAGAGATCTGGACTGACGGAGGACTGCGAATATATGGCTGCGACGGGAAGGAAGAGAGGCAGCGGAGAATCCCAGGAGACGGAGAAACGGAAGCAGAAAAGACAGTAACTGACGTAATCAGTTCGCCTCCACCATCAAAGGGAGTAACTCCCGTGATTATGTGGCCGCCTGCCTGTCTCGCCACGCCACGGCCACGGCCTCGGCCCGGCCCGGCCCGACCCGCGCCCACGCCCACGGCCTGGCCCGGTCGGCGGCGGCGGCGCACGCGCACGTGTGGCATGTCTTTATCCTTTTCTCAGCTTCTCAATTTAGATGAATAATTTCCCCCCATATAAGCTGAGTCAACGTTCAGTCAAAATCCCGTATGGTATTAAACCATACAACGCTTAATGTTACGTACCATAGAGTTTTATTTGATTTATTAAATATTATATGGGCCAAGCCCATATTATATCCAACAATCCCCACCAAACTCTAGGGTTTGTAACAAAGTAGTCTCAGAACCACATTTCTTTTATATACCAGTGTTTCGATGGAGACTGTTAAGTTGAACATCCATCTAGAGCAATAGTTTCAATCAGTCACAACTGAACAATGGACTAGGCCTTGAATTGCCAGTTTTGTGTGAGGTGAATGTCACTAAAGTCCTTAGCTGATACTTGGCTGCAAAATGCATCCCCTCTAGTTGAAGCATATAAGTCATACTCCAGTACCTTTCATGAGTATTTAGATATCACCCAAATCTCATAGACTATGACCAGCAGTCTGACTCATATAGGTGTGCTCCTCAAAAGATGTTATGTAGGACAACATCTTTGCTTTAGCAAGCCGCTTGGAACACATTAAGGTAAAAACCAACCTGCCTTACAGATAGGAAAGATGTGCATCAAAAATGAGTCTTACTAGGGATCTTTCCTCACAATTTACTACTAGCTTCTTTCACCATTCTATTTTATGGGATCTCCGAGCACATAGAACATGTTACCACTATAGTAAATTTCAAGTGGGTCTCAAACCCATCTCTCTCGATGCACTTTTTATCACATTGCGTGACAGACTCTTAGTGAACTGATCTACCAGATTGTTAGACGTGTGAACATAGTCCAACGCTATTACTCCGGAGTTTCTCAATTTTCTGACAGATTTTAATCATCTCTTAACATGCCTTGTGGACTTCATGTTATCCTTAGAACTGTTAACCTTTGTAATCACAGTCGGGTTATCGCAGTTCATAAAGATAGCCGGTATGGGTTTTTCAACAACCGATAAATCCATAAGGAGATCATAAAGCCACTCGGCCTCAGAGCCAGCAGTGTCTAATGCTATGAGTTCTGCTTCCATTGTAGACTTCGTTAAGATAGTCTGCTTGCAAGACTTCCAGGAAATAGCGCCACCTC